GCTGACAAAATGTAAATTTTTTTAAAAGAGTATGCATTTCAATAATATCATTTCTTCATAGTTACATAAAGAATAGAGACAGTAGCATTACTTTGCAAATTATATTAGTATTACTATGACTAATTTTGAGAAAAGACAGGTGAGCATAAAAGATTAATGTATTTCAACAGAAAAACATAGTCCATATGTTATGAATTTTAGGTGTTGTTGCAGGAAACCCGTTTGGGTTTCTGCAGAGAACGTAGTAAGTCTATTAATAACTCCGCACTCTCTCAGGGACAGCTGCTTTCTGCTTGGAGTCATTTTAGGAATCAGTGATGATTTAGTGGAAAGTGAGCTAAGCCTGGCAGTATCTGGGATCTCCTACAGTCTATCTTTAGGAACTCTGTAACTGTTTAGAGTTCCAGTGCCCCTATTCATTAAATGAGGGCAACATGACCCACATTACACAACTGCTGAAAATTAATTATAACAATGTGACAGTACATTGGGAAACTCCAATAATTGCATAAGGCCAGTAAAGTCGCTTATGAGTGAGGATGTGCAAATTAGAATTAGGAATAAATACACTGTTTCATTTTATAGCTCAAAGAGAAGATAACTACAAATTCAGGTATGGGACAAAGCTCTGTGGTTAATGAGTTTGGTTAATTTGCTTAAAGTTCTTGGGATTAAATTTCTACTATAAAAATCAAATGAGACATGAATCTGGAGAGATGACTGAGCAGTTAAGACAAGCAATGACTGCTCTACTAGAGGACCTTGTTCAATTCTAAGCACCCACATGGAAGTTCACAACCATTTACAACACCAATTGTGGGGGATATGATGTCTCCTTTTGGCCTTCATGGGTATTGCATGTGGGTAGTTCACACATATACATGTAGGCAAAACACCCATACACAAAAAATAAAATGAAAAACATGAGATAATTCTTGAGTGATAACTTAATGGCAAAATTTGAATCCTAATGTCGAGGTTGCTTACCATGCGGATCCAATACTTAGAAAGGCATTGGCGGTGAGAGTATTAATATTGCAGCCTAGTAACTAAAAGTTCTCTTTAGGTGGTGGTGGTGCTTGCCTTGAATCACAGTACTTGGGAGGCAGAGGCAGACAGATCTTTGAGTTTGAGGCCAACCTGGTCTACAGAGTGAGGTCCAGGACAACCAGGGCTACACAGAGAAACTCTGTCTTGAAAACCACCCTCCTATCCAGTCTGTCTAGTTTGTGATTCTCACAACTTCAATGACCCAGGTAATATTCTCTGTAGATATTCTGAAGATAACTAAATTGTATTACTACCCATTGGGTCCTCTGTTATTATAAGGATTATGTTTTTATTTTTGTTTGCCCTGGAAGCTAAACTGAATTATAATTATTAATGGAAAGCTCTTTCATTTATTACATTGGGCTGGTGACATTGAATAGCTTTACAGTATATATAATATCAAATTATTTCAAATTACTTGTCACTTGCCTTCATTATAAATGTCAGTGACATATATGAAAAATGGTTATCTTTATTTCTACTTTTAATCATTTTTATTGAGCTATGTAATTTTCTCTGCTCACCTCCCTTCCTCCCCCTCCCTTTCTACCCTCTATTATTATCTCCATGTTCCCAATTTACTCAGAAGATCTTGTCTTTTTCTACTTCCCATGTAGATTAGATCCATGTATGTCTCTCTCTTAGGGTCCTCTTTGTTGTCTAGGTTCTCTGAGACTGTGAACTGTAGGCTAATTTTCCTTTGTTTTATATTTAAAAGTCACTTATGTGTGGCTTGTATCTTTCTGGGTTTTGGTTACATCACTCAATATGATGTTTTTTAGATCCATCCATTTGCAGATTTCAAGATGCTAGTGGGATTATATTTAGGAAGTGATCTCCTGTGCAACAAACAAATAAACACATCTTGAGGTTATTTATTTTAATTTCATTCTGTAATAAATGATGTTTTTCTAATTTGAAAGGGTTAGTCATGTAGTCCTATTATGAAAGTTCTTGTGGAATAACTCACAACATGTCTCTGTAAATATTTGAAGATCATATTATACCTTTCTATCTTTAACTGCAAAACTCAAATCCCCAATTTATGATAGTACAATGCAGACTTCATTGTCTTTGAATGTCTGAGCAGTGATAGTTTATAATAATGGAAAGTGCTGATCTTGATTCATAACACATATTTATCAGTTATACTTATTCTTTATGTTTTTTATTTGTTTGTTTCTGACAAGATTTCACTGTGTAGCCTTGGCTGGCCTACTCTGTAGGCTCACTCTGACATCAAACACACAGAGATCTGTCTGCATCTGCCTTCTGAGTGCTGAGATTAAAGGTACAAACCACCAAGTCCAACATCCAATTATGGTGCTATTTTAAATAACATTATTTGTTAAATGTAAACATTTAGCCCTAAAATATGCATGTAATCTTTAAAAAATGATAGGATAAATGATGTTACAGGCAAAAGTTTAAAGGTATAAAAAGGCACCAAAATATATATACAGCTGCAGGTGAGTATCTGAGAACTGGAGCCTGTCCGGCTACACATGAACATGTTTTCCTCTTTAGAGTGCCTCTTTGCAGTATCATCACTGTTAATTCCTGATTGAATGATGAATGAAGATGGCAAACTAATTGCCCCCTCAGAGCTGTCACTAGCTAACAAAGAGGCCTTAAGGGGCTCTGACAGACACTTCCTAGAAAGCAGTCTATGGAGAATGTTCTGGTTGTGCAAGTCCCATGAGACTTTCTTCTTTATTAAAAGGTCAATGAAAACTATACTGTCTGTAGTGCCTTTGCCTCTGACAAGAATGATGTATGTCAGGCCTTGCTATTTCAGTGAGCAGAACATGAACCATGTTCTTGGGAGATGATGTAAGTACCCCTCCTTCTGTTCAAGTCTGATCTTCAACTCCCTTACACACTAGAAGGACCATGCTTGGGCCTTTCCTCGTCTTTGGGATAACCATTTATTCTAATAGACTTAAAATAAAATGATATAGAATCAAAATGTCATGGTGTTTGAGCATAAGCAACAACTAGATGCATCTGAGGCCCTTTGCTGATAGAGGAAAGGGAATTTAAAAAAAACCCACAGGAACTTGACTTGCTTAGAGAGATTGTTTATGTGTGGCTAGAATTGTTATGAGGAGCAGTCATGCACTGCCGACCCTTTAAGCCACTGCTTCTCATTTTACTGCCTTCTTTGTATCCAACTGGAGTGTGAGATCGGGGAAGACAGAATGGCTCAAGTTATTTGTGAAAGGGAATATAGGGACATTTATTATAGCTTCTGATCTGAACTCCCATGCTGAATGACTTTGAAAAGATACAAATTTGCTAGTCTGAACACCAATGTTAGATTACAAAAACTTTTGCTTATGAAAACTTTGAGTGTGCTTTTAACACAGGGTAATTTTCTTTCTTACAGCAAGCAGCAGCCTTTTCTGCGTTAGAATATCAAATGCTACAGTTGCCTAACCAGGGTAAGTCTACTTAGTTCTCAGAAGGAATACTTTCTGTAGGAAAATAATTATCTTTTTTGGCCTAAGATCATACAGATATTACAGATAATACTAAACTTAGTCTTTAAAATTATAAAAAGTTCCACTGTATGGTTTCTTAAATCAGATGAGATTTTAAATAAGTGTAATTAACCTGGGAGATGTAAGGAATGAAAAATTTTCCAACATTCAAGAAAAGCAGCTGTAGAAATCCTCCTGAAAAAGTGTCACTCAGCTTTGGAAGAAGTTCTTTGAGCAGAGGAGGGCAGAGGAAAGATTGGAACAAAACAGGTCTGCATATACTAGCTTTGAAACTTGGACACGTTCCTTAATGTAGCTGAAATTAATCTGTAGGTCTAACTAGTAATTGTTAGTTTCATCGATATTTTTTCAAATAATTGTGTTTTTTAAATGTTGTGTCTATCTTTAGAACAAAATACATATTCAGTACCTGCTGGTATTATTATTAATGTCACTAATACTAGGTAAATTAAGAAAAGGGTTCCTGCTTCTTCAATATAATGATATTATGCACTTAAAGTAAAATTAACCTCAGTAGTGGTGTTTCTTGCCCTTATACTACTTCTATGTTGGTATTTTTAATGTTTTGGGACTTTATTCATTTTTTTTGCTTATTTTTCTTTTGGCTAATATTTCTGAGTTGTTTGTGTCCACTTAAAATAAAAGGGCCAGAATAAGAAGAGATATAGCTATGACAGACGTCATTTAGGCACTCTCAATTCTAAAGAGATTTAATATGAAGAGATGAGATATAAATGGACTTAATGATATTATTTAATAAGTGTGTGCCTTTGATCCTCTGCATATACAGTTGTGTAGCTTGGTGTTCTTGTTATACTCCCAGCAATGGTAGTGGGAGGTTTATTGGGCTCCATTGGCTGCACTTAAGGAGACTTTTTCTCCTACTGGATTTCCCAGTACAGCAGTGATATGACGGTTTGTGCCCAGTCTTATTGTATCTTGTTAAGCAATGTTAGGTGGCTGTCCCAAAGAGGCCTGCTATTCTTTCTTTGTGTAAAGGGAAACAGAGGAGGACTTCATCTGGAGGAGAGGGAAGGTTCTTGCAGGAGGGAGTGGAGCAGTGGAGGGAGGGGAAACTGCAGTAGGGAAATAAGGTATGAAAGAAGAATAAAAGTTAAAAAAATGATTCTTTAGTTGTAAAATAAATATGTAAATAAATCTGCTTAGTAATGTTACTTAACAAATAACAAATAGTTTTAAAGTACTAATGTCAAATCAAAGCACTTGCAGAAGTAGGGTTCAGAGATGTAAAATAATGTAAGAGTTCAGTTAGAATGTACAGTTTTGTTAGGTACCTTCATAGGTGTGACATAACTCTACTGTAGTACCTGAGAATGGTTGGTGCTGTTGATTCTGTAAAATTATTGTGAATTTCATTTTACAGATGTCCATGAGTTATTGTATAAATTATTTGAACTAATAAAACTAACAAGAACCAAAGTTGAGATTGTCATTAGTTGTCATAATTTATAATATACTCTTTTTCCTGTTATTTTGCAGGAGAAAATGCATAGTGAGAGTATGTTACTTAAAGATATCACCAGAACTCAAAATATAAAAATGCTCAGAGCAAATGCCATCAAAAATATTTCTAACCTGAAAATGTTTTTTAACATATCTCTAAAATCCTGCTCTTGGAAAAGAAGATAATCATTTCCCTACAGAAAGTATTCCTTCTGAGAACTAAGTAGACTTACTCCAAATGAGGTACTTGTAGCATTTTTTTATGTGTGTATAGATCAGACTGCTGTGTATCGTAACATAGAAAAGTGGACCATATTAAACACACTCAAAGCTTTCAGCAAAAGTTTTAAAACAATGAGGAATCTGTCTGTAGTGACTCAGTTTATCCTGCTGGGCATCCCGAACACAGAGGGTCTGGAGACCATGCTCTTTGTCCTGTTTTTGTCTTTCTACATCTTCACCCTGATGGGAAACTTATTAATCTTAACAGCCATTATCTCCTCCACTCGGCTTCATACCCCCATGTACTTCTTCCTATGTAAGTTGTCTATTTTTGACATATTTTTTCCTTCTGTGAGTTCTCCCAAGATGTTGTTCTACCTCTCAGGAAACAGCCGAGCCATCTCCTATGCAGGATGTGTGTGCCAGCTCTTCTTCTACCATTTCCTGGGTTGTACAGAATGTTTCCTGTACACAGTGATGGCCTATGACCGCTTCGTTGCCATATGCTACCCTCTACGCTACTCAATCATCATGAGCCACAGAGTATGTGCCATCCTGGCCACAGGCACTTCATTTTTTGGTTGTATTCAGGCTACTTTTCTAACAACTCTCACCTTCCAGTTGCCCTACTGTGGTCCCAATGAGGTGGACTATTACTTCTGTGATATTCCTGTGATGCTGAAGCTGGCCTGTGCAGACACATCAGCCCTGGAGATGGTGGGGTTCATTAGCGTGGGCTTGATGCCCCTCAGTTGCTTCCTCCTCATCCTCACCTCCTACAGCTTCATAGTCTGTGCTATTCTGAGGATCCGCTCTGCTGAGGGACGTCGAAGAGCTTTCTCCACCTGCAGTGCCCACCTCACTGCCATCTTGCTTTTCTACATGCCGGTTGTCCTTATATACTTAAGGCCAACACCAAGTCCTTGGCTGGATGCAACTGTTCAGGTCTTAAATAATCTGGTCACCCCTATGCTAAACCCATTGATCTATAGCCTCAGGAATAAGGAGGTAAAATCATCACTGTGGAAGTTCCTACATAACCCTGGCTTTCTTCCTGAGCAGCTGTAAGGAAAGACCAGCGATGAACATTTTGTCTGTATATCATGGGTATTGTAATGTTTTTATTTGTTATTCACAAACATTTTTGAAATGATCCTAATTTTACTACGTGAAGGACTAAAAGACAAAGGGTTGAAATGAGTTTTCAGAGGATGATTAGGGAATAAATGAAAGGGAGACTCCAGGTTTTGTGACTATAGAAACTGTACTCTCTCATGGATATTGCACTATGGACAAAGGAGGAAGGGTACCCCACTCAGCAAGCAGAATAGCCTCTGCCTTTTTGTCCATATTTTTGTTGTTGTTTTGTTTACTTTTGAGATTTTATTTTAATCATAATTTTTCCCTTTTCTTCCTTTCACCCCTCCATGTCTTCCTCCTAATTCTGTTCCATGTTTGTACATATTAATTTTTCATATATTCTTTTCACCCTTTCCATTGTCCTTTATATGTAGTGACTTTTCATTTGGGATGTAATTATGATTTCCTCAAATGTCTACATTAAATAAGCATCATATAATTTCTAGTTAATGAAAAGAGGCACATTCTTGTGGCTTCAATAGCATCTGGTTATTTATGAGCCATAAAAATTTCCATATAGAGAAAAGCTTTTGTCCCATCCTGAAAATGGGACTGACCAAAGCAGAGGTACTAGCATGCTAGGGTGAATTCAAAAACTAGGTGGGTTGAGGCTTGGGAACTGGTATTGACAAAAACATTTGGCTTATGAATGAAAAGGTGAAAGAAAAGAAAGAGAACCTCAGGAGGAATCTGGAGGAGCACGTGAGATGGCTCGGGAGTTAATATAAATTTCCCTTCCAGAGGATTTATTTAGGACCCATTCAGTTTCCAGCCTGTATATCAGGTAGACCGTAACCTCCTATAACTTCAGCTCCAGGGAGATTCAATGACCTTGGCCTCTAAGGGAACCTGCAATCAGGTGTAATACACCCACAATTACACACAAAATTAAGGAATTAAGGCAGAATATAAAAATTATCAAGTTATTTCATGTTTACTGCATGCCAAGCCCTTTCCAGCCTTCTTAAGGTTCATCCTGCCCTTTCCTCCTTGCCTGGCAATAGTTTCTTAGAGACGCAGGACAATCTTCAAGCATAAAAAAATGAAGTCCTGTTTACTTTTTGTTTTCGCTCATTTAGACTTCATTTAATAAGTGACTCTGCTACGACACGGTATGGAGGTGAGAGTTCTAAACCCACCTGTTGGTAGTAAAAATCTGCAGGCTAAAATGCAAAAGCAGATGTGCAACTAACAGAGAGTTCAAGAATAATATCGTGACCTGGGTAGAAAATAAAGTCAAAGAAATAGTAGTTCCCCCAGCTCCGCAGAGGGAGGGTGGGGGAAGGAGTAGTTTCACAGACAGGTTGCATGTTGCACGTGAATACTGGTTATTGAATTCTTTGCCCAGAGAACCAACATGCTTTTCTCTCTTTTGGAGTGTAGGTACAAATTAATTCCTTGACTTGACATAACTTAACTGTTTCCCACTTAAAAGGAAGATAAAAATTCATTATACCTTCTGTTTGTTTGGCTCATATATAACCCAGCCTCTTGTTGCAGGTTAGAGGAATGGCTTTTCTAGTGCCTGCTCAAGCAAACAAACCTCTCTTTTTCAGAACAGCTCAGCTGTTCTGAAACTTTCCTGAAGCTCTGATGCCTCCATGAAGAATGGGAGCTGCCTCAATGTGTAAACAGAGCACTATCCTGATGGACATCTTTCTAAATTATATTTTATTCCAGATACTAAAATACCCTTGAAATAGTGTTGATGAAATCTATGTTAAGTATAAAGAACTATTGTAACACATGTAATCCTCTACTTACAAAGGAAAATTGTAATTCTAGCGAATTTCCCCTCAGAGCTCATCTGATCCCATAACCTTAGCTCCCTCTGGAAGTCATTCTCACTCTATATTGTTTTTGGTTTTATCATATATGTTTGTGCCCCTAAATATTATATTACAAGACTTTGATGTATTTCTACTCAAATGTTCTTTCTTTGCTTTAGTGTTCCTTTTTGGATTTGTGTTTATTTGTATATGCCTATAATTATTTTCTATTATCAAGGTGTGGTATCCCAAAGGTATGCCAACTTTGTCTCTGTGTAGTATCCCATTATATGACTATATCAGTATTTGTTCTTGTTACTCATAAATAAATAAGCATATATTTTGAAAATCTAAGGAGTCCTTTGTTTGGGATTGCCATACTATTTTGATAAGCTATTAATGCTATTCCTGTGTGTGCATAAGACAAGAGAAGTCCACCTCCAACACTTGTTATACATTTGCTTTCACTAGGGATGAAGGAAAATTTTATTTCATTCAAATGTTCCAATAACATACACTTGCATGGGATTTAGGTATAGGGAATACATTTGGAAGATTCACCAAGGAAGCAGAGTAAGGGAGTAAAAAAAGTAAGGTAAGATGGGATAGTCAGTTAGGCAAATGTCTGCGACTTACCAAGGGGGTTTCGACTTCCCTAAATTTTCTAGTGAGTTTACCTTGGAGGGAAAATTTTCTGACATCTCAAACAATTCCATGTCCATATGAGCTAAAAAGAAATTCATAGTCAAAAATTATTCTCAGGTATAGGGTGTGGAGGCCCCTCAGTATATGCAGACACACTTTAAAAATAAACTCTGGGCTGGGCGGTGGTGGTGCACTCATTTAATCCCAGCTCTCTGCAGAGGTAGGTGGATCTCTGTGAATTCACGGTCAGCTTGGTCTGTAAGAGCTAGTTCCTGGATAGTCTTCAAAGTTACAAAGAAACCCTTTCTCAAAAAATCAAAATATAAACAAACAAATAATAAAACAAAACTCCAGAGTGAGTTAAAGTAATGCAGATATATTCTAGTGAGGTGCTCACTGGAGCAAACATGGCATTACTACTATGCGCTAGTTGTATTAGTTACATTTTACTGCTGTGATGAAGCACTGTGACTGAAGCTGACCTACAGAAGAGTCTACTTATCTTTTGATTGCCGTGGGAGAAGAGTCTGTTGTGACAGGAATGCAAAGGGGCATGTGGCAAGCATGGCAGCAGGAGCAAGAAAGTGAAAACATGAAAGTCTTTTTTTTTTTTTTTTTGGTTTTTCGAGACAGGGTTTCTCTGTGGCTTTGGAGCCTGTCCTGGAACTAGCTCTGTACACCAGGCTGGTCTCGAACTCACAGAGATCCGCCTGCCTCTGCCTCTGGAGTGCTGGGATTAAAGGCGTGCACCACCATCGATTTTCTAGGACTAAACAACATGTTAGGCATTCTCCTTTTGTTGGAAGATTATTTAGGTGGGGTCTTGCCTTGTAGGTATGTCCCCCTTGGTTCCAAAGCAGATCAGAAGACATTAACTGTGTTGATCTTAACAATTACAGCTTCTCTTTCAGCATAGCCTTGGTTCCAACAGTGAACTTCTTCCTCCCCTTCCCCTTCCTCTTCTCCTTCTTTCTTCTTTCTTCTTCCTCTACTTCATCCTCCTCCTCTTCCTTCTCCTTCTTTTTTTTTTAAAGATAGGGTTTTCCTGGATGTCTTGGAACTCTGTAGACTACGCTGGCCTCGAACCCAGAACTGTCTCCAGAGTGCTAGGATTTATGACATGCACTATCACCACCTGGCTCATTATTGAATGTCTTAGTTTTCTTTTCCTCTCCATACTGCACAATTTATATTTTCTTTTGTCTTACTTACCCTTTATCACAGTAGACCTGCATAAAAATTATAGGCAGAAAGTATTCCACAGACTCAATCTTATGCTGTCTTGAACACTTCTCTACCAAAACAAGCAAACAAACAAAAAATAAACAACCTCCCCAAACGGTCAGTTACTTTTTAATTTACTTCAAGTAACTTCTTAGAACATAGGCAGAAGGCATCCAGAATCTTTGTGAAGATATCATAGTATTGGTCTTTATCTCAGTTGTTAATAGGGAACTTGCCTTGCTTCCCCCAGCCCCACCCACCTCATGTTCTGAACCTCTATTCTCTAATCTGCATTGTTTTCAGCATGACATTAGAGCAGTTTTTTTAGAGCAGTTTTTTATATTCCTTTATAGCATTCAATTACTTTTCTAGTACAAAGCTTAAAGATCTTCCACTTTCCTCTAAAAAAGAGACACGAGTAGGTTCTTCACAGCAACATGCCACCACTCTGGTGGTGCCACCTTCTGAATTATTTACCTTTTGTTCTGTGATAAACGACCATGACTTGAAAGCAACCTGCAGAAGAAAGTTTATTTTGGCTTATGTTGTTAGAGTAATGAGTGATTATGGCAGAGGCATGCCAGCAAGCAACAGACATGGCTGAAGGAGCAAGAAACGTCGGGGTCACATCTCCAACAACACCCAGAAAACAGAGAGAATGAACTGGAACTGAGGCAAGGCTATACATTCTCAGAACCCCTATCCTAGTGACATACATCCTTCAGCAAGGCTCCACAGCTCAAAGGTTCCCTAACTTTCCCAAGCAAAGCCACCAACATGCAAACAAGTGTTCAGATGCATAGCATACGGAAGATAATTCTTACTGAAACTACAATAACTGACCTCTTTCTGATTGGATTGCATGCAGGCCTGCACCAGAGACGGAAATTTCTTACTTTGAATCCTAGTCAAAAGTCCATGACTTGATGGGTTGATAAATATAATCTGCTATTGTTATTTTGTAGAATAAAATTGGTCATGTTGCCAAACTGTCTTTTCGATATATATGTTTGCATATAAATTGACCTGGGCTATTTTCCATATGGGTCAGAGAAACTTCTTGTTCTAGGGAACTGAAGTCAAGCTTCGAGGCATAGATTGTCAATGGACTGAGAATAAGGGACTATCGGTAGTTGATAATTTCTGGGGGAGGGAGAGAAAATTATTTTATTTTGAATGTATGTCCACTGGTAAATTTTCCATGCTCTAGCGAGTGAGCTCACATCCTTGTACATTTGGACAACATTAATTAGATTTGGTTCATCATAAAGAAAAATAAGAGACGTAGAA